ATCCCCATAAGAGTGGGGCGGCATGGCTCGGACAAATTTTCGCTATCATGTGTTTGGCAATGCATTCGTACTTTCGAATGGATGATGAGCCCCCTGAGTTCCGGGGCAAGTCTCTTGCTTTGGCTGCAAATTATCGAGCTCTTACCGGACAGTGTCTTTTGCTTGCCGACTTCACCAAGCCTGTCAATCACATGATCGAGACTTTGGTGCTCCACCTACATTGCGAATATGCTCGGAATCGTGATGCTGAGGTTGGAACGTGGGTATTAGTAGGCATGATAGTCCGGCTAGCTATGCGTATGGGCTATCACCGAGACCCAAAATACTTTCCCAACATCACACCGTTCCAAGGGGAATTGCGAAGACGAGTGTGGACATTCGTGCGACAATCAGATCTTCTCTTCTCTTTTCAGATCGGATTGCCGAGCATGATTCGATTGGGTGATTGTGACACAGAACTTCCTCGAAACCTTTACGATGATGAATTCGACGAGGATTCAAAGATTCTCCCCCCCTCGAGACCCGCGTCAGAGCCTACTCCCGTATCATACATGTGCGCGAAAGCTAACATCGCATTCGCATTTGGGAAGGCGGTCGAGAAATTACACTCTGTATCGACATCCTCGTATGACGAAATTATGACTCTAGATCGCGATCTGAGAGAAGCTCGTGCAGAGTTCCCTCCACATCTTCGTCTTCGAAGCATAGAAGATTCTATGATGGACCCTGGAGCTCTAGTCATGCAACGCTTCTATTTATCAATCTTGTATCACAAAGGTCAATGCGTTCTTCATCGAAAATTCCTCGCGAGAGCGCGCGAGAATAACCGCTACGCTCACTCTCGACGTACCTGCGTTGACTCATCAATGGAGCTTCTCAGCCACCAGGCGACCCTGCATTATGAATCGCGTCCTGGTCGTCGCCTCCACGGCATGAAGGTCTTCATCAGCTCGATCACAGCAGCGGACTTCCTACTTGCTGCTATGATTGTCGCTCTTGATCTCTGCTACGGGGCGGAAACAGAAGGCGGCGGCCAAAGCTCTGGCGACATGTACACCTGGGGACTGGAAAGACGAGCGGACATGGTTCGGGCGCTCGAAGTTTCCAATGACATTTGGAAAGAGACGAAGGATCAGTCAATGGAGGCCTTCAAAGCATCTGAACTTCTGACTGTCATCTTGAACAAAATGAAGTATAGTAGGAACCAAGCCGCTGGACGAACACCGCAAAACCCCTTCCCATTTCCCGGCCCACCCAACGGCACAGATGGGCAGACTTTCGGACTACCAGGGGAGGAGAAGCCCGAGCACTCTGCAGCCATGACACTAGGCATGCTTAGCAATGGCGGGATGACGCCTAATTCTGCGTCGATGTTCAATGGGGCATTTCCTTCTACAGGGGGTGTTAGTTCTAACATGGGGGATATGCAGTCTTCAGGATTGACGCCAGGCTACTCACTGGAGCAAGCTGGTAACGGCATACCCTCTGTGCCGAGCCCACTCTCGTTCTTTGGCAATGGAAATCTAGCGGGTGACATGCCCGCGAACTTGGATTGGGTAAGTGCAAGCGGTCGCGTATGACCAATGAAAATGCTAATGTCCGCGCATAGGATGCATGGGATTCCTACGTCCAGAATGCGAGTCTTGACACTGGGATTCAGGGTTGGCCCGCGAGCATGGACCCGGCACTGATGACATCGGCGGTAGATGGACAAGCGCAGATGCAGCAAACGTCTAGTACCTCGTTCAATGGTTCTGGAGGAATATTCATGGGGGTCAGCACTCCCCCAGGCAACATGCCTATCTGACCGTCACCGGCTCCTGTTGTTCGAGCACGAAGCGCTGTTGGGCATGCAATAGCGATGGGTTGGAGGTCATCAGGCCTTGATAAAATCCCGAATGTGGAGGCGTTATGGCGACCGCGAGGGAATCGCCTTATGAGCTGGCAAGAAGCAAAGATACCACGTGTGGCAATTCGCAGGTTTGCCGCAAGAACAAGCCTGGAACATGCTTGTACTTAAAACGACTCATATTTTTGCGAAGCTGGAGACACGCTGTAAAAAAACATAACCACCCCACTCGAATTATTTGATGTGCTCTGACTATCTCGACGCGTAGGTTCCTCGAGCCCTGGCCTATGCAAAATACACATTTTCATTCACTGGGTTATTCTTTTCTTTCAAAGCTGCGATTACCTAAAAGTAGTCTGCACTCTGCCTGCCAACTGCCGAGTTCAAATTTTGTGCACATGTATCTACCCGCGCAACACGCGCGCCAAAAAAGTAAACAAGACCTCCCCACCAAATCTTCGTCATCTTACATATCCCCTCACAAACCACTCCAAACAGACAATTTGCATAATTGTCTTCTTCCACACAGTGAACGATGGGCTCTCTCAAGTCAGTCTACCAGAGCTTCTTGGCAAGCCCCAATGCGTCTGCATTGAACAACGATGCCTCTCTCAACTACATTACGACTCTTACCACCATCAACACTGCCGCTGCCGTAATCAAACACCATGCAGCACATCAAAAGGTTCTCACAAAGAAAGAAGAGAAGGTTTTGAGCTGCATTGAGGGCCGTGATGCTTTGTGCCTGGATGTCGAGACCACTTTGGAGTTCATTACAGGTGGAGGGGCTTATTTGCCCGGCTTGGATGACAACTTCCTGGCGGACCGCGTCGTTACATTCCCAATGGTGAAAGAAACTCGGCCGGCGAAAAATTCATGTTGACGCTCGTGCTAAATCTTTGGTCTAGGTGCACATCGTCCATTTCGATTCGACCCAGAAGATTCAACAAGTCCGCCTATACTGGGATCAAGGATCTCTACTCAAGCTCGTAGATGTTATTGGATCTCGAGCAAGGAACTGGCCTATCCGTGATGGCAAAGATCAGGCACGTCTGATCGCTTCGAGTGCTGCGGTTATTACTCAAAGCAATTGCCCCACGCGTCCAGCCACGGAGAACGGTTCCTGCGACGCAGACCATGCGGCTGTCACAACCAAGCCTAGATCACAGAGCAAGAATGTCACCAGAGACCCACATGCCAGCTTAGCCCTCTTCGCGCCTCGTGAAGAAGTAGAGGACTCCTTGGCACCCGCCGCTGTCGCTCCTCGTGCCTCGGCCAAACCACCGCCCCGGGACTACCATGACCTCTTCGTCGGTAACGAGTCCGACGCCTCGCCAATCTCCAAGGAAAAGATTATATCGCCCCAAAAGGAGAACATGACCCTTGGCCCTATCGCTCCCAAAGGTGGTGTCGGCAAAAATTATCAGCCCTCTCGCTTGTTCGAGACCGACAACTCGCAGCCAGGAACTCCCGGCACGCCCATCGAATCTTCAGCGAAATTCATCAAACCCGATCCCAATAAATACAACCATTTCGAATTCGGCGATGGAAACGAGAAACAAATGCCAATGGCAGCTCGGCCCAAATCTAAGCACCAAAACAACTGGGACTTCGCAGATTTCATGACCCCTGACAAGGTTCCCATCAAAGTCCGAGGCCAAGACGTCCGTCACTTCGGCTGGAGTGACGATGAACCTGTGATGGATAGCCCAGTCAAGCATCCTGCTGTAGCCAAAGCGCGTCCTGATGCCAATACAAACTTCGAATTCCAAGATGATGACACTCCCGGAGGTGAGTGGGGTCCAGATCATCATCGCGGTCAGGGTAACGCGAAGGGCTTTGGAATGTATCAGAACAATGTTTTCGACGAAAGCGATTTGCCACACAGCCCAGAGAAGAAGGGCCATCCATTGGCCAACCTAAAGGATAGACGCAAGAACTTCGATCCCCATTTCAGCATGACAGATGATGCTCCCTCTCATTCAGCGAATGTTGACAAGCAGCCGATCCCGGAGGCCAGAGCGAAGGTGGTTCAACAAATGGGTGCGCAGTGGGAAGCTAGCGGCCAATCGCCAGTAAGTCGCCACCCGACAAGCAAAATCGAAGATGTAATCAACCCAACCTCTGGAGACAAGGAAAACTTTCTGAATGGAGGCGGCAACAAGCATGTTGGTATCAAGAGCGGCGGCGACGGCATGGGAGGGAAAAAGGGAGCCGGACGCTCGTGGGGCTTTGGAGACGATTCTCCTGGCCCTCAACCCGCTAGTAAGAACGAGAATCGAATCAACCCGGTTTCTGGGGACAAAGAGAACATCTCGAACGGAGGTGGCAAGAAGCATGTGGGCATCAAGAACGGTGGAGATGGCATGGGCGGGAAGAAGGGGGCTGGACGTGCCTGGGGCTTTGGGGATGATAGTGATGAGGACGGCGTTGGAGGCAGGAATGGTGGCAAGTTCCAGGCTTCGAAGATCCAACAGGCCCCGAAGGATAGTGGGTTTTGGGATTTTTGAGCATGGAAGGGAATGGGGATATGTTGCAATGAAGGAAAGACGGATGGCGGATTGATTGGGTGCAATGATACGCGATGGATCACGAGGTGGCAACATTGTTCTTCTGAACGTTGATGTTCCTGTTCAAAATTTCGGGTGATGTATCATGTGAATGCTTCAAAGATCATCTCAAATCGAGTATTTCAAGCTGTCTTCTGCCGCTTTTTTTTGTTCACTCAACGTGTTGGACTAAGAAAGCGGTGCTGAATGTGCATCGAGCGTGGAAATTGGGCAGAAAAGTTCATGGACATGGGCATCTTTACGAGCAAGCATCCAAGGAGAACGGTTTTCTCTAGGTCATCTGGAGAACGCGTTCTGAGTCCTAATCTAGCATCGGTGATCACTGGACTATCGCACAGACTTCCAGGGTGTCTGGGCGAAATCGTTTCCTAAGTAAAGTATTCACACTCGACACGACACAATTGAGCATGTATCGTACAGTGATGATTCCTTCCTCGAACGGATGAGCGACGTAAAAGTCATCGGTACTATGACTTCACACTTCACATCCTGCATCAGACATCATCTCATGCTTCTTCGTCCGAGCACATGTTCTCTTCCATACATGCACGTTCTCCATTAGACGTGCGATGAAATTTCTCCTACCATGGCAATTCATCATCGGTTACGTTGATGCAAAGGAAGCCTTGGTACGAAGCGTTCCTCTTGCTCAGCTTTGCGCTTGGCTGCTTCACAACGCAGCCGAAAAAAGGCTCAATGATCTCAGCTGTCCTGTGTTGTAGCGACTGAAAGACAGTCCCGAAATCTTCTCTACTGATATTTGCGGGTTCGCCAAACTTGTCGTAGAGTCTGTCGAACCAGTACGGGTGGGAAGGGTACTGTATTTCGGAGCCTATGTTCCGCAAGAGACGTTCCTTCAAGAGTCGGAACTTTCGTGCATAAGAGACCGAGCCGCCGTTTCGATGGGACCTGAAGAGTCTGCTGATCTCGTCTCTGAAGGCCGCGGTAGCGAATGTAATTGTACGCTCATCAGGCATTCTTCCAGTTTTCCTTGGCTGCTCTATGAGGACAACACGCTGATGAATGTCCTTCAGCATGTCTCGCAGCTCAGCACGCTTGCTGAGCAGCAACTCACCGGCCTCGAAACTGCTGAAATTGCGCTCGATGTCATGATCCTCCCACAGGGGATCTGCGATGATTCGAGAGACAATCTCTTTGAGCAGCCAGCGAGAGTGGATCTTCATTGCGATGTTTAGAAGTTCCTTGTAATTGGCATTGGAGAATCTTTCGATATCAGAGCTATGATAGCGAATCAAATAATTCTCGACAGGCATTGACACAACCGAGAGGCTATCGTACGCATCTGCTACACGGACAAGGGTGTAGATCGACTTGACAACATACTCGAAGTTGCTGGGATCGATGGCTAGCGGTATATGATGTATGAGCTTCAAGTATTGACGATGAGCTTCAGTGGTATATGTTCGAAAGCTCGTTTTGTTATTGTCTTGGGGAACCCATGGAGCACACCTGGTAAAAATTGCGGCAGTACTGAAGTGAAGGCCCGGCGTCTCCGCTACATGGACTGCTCCTGCTGTCTGCCCCACAGATAAATACTGAGATCTGGCAAAGGTCACAGGCGCGCTTGACTTACCGCTCTGGCTAGAAGATCCAGATGATCAGTAGAACCCCCATCAAGTTCGTCGAATCGTAATTGGTATTTCCATTTGATCGTACCTTCATCTGGTGAGCCACGATTGCCGCTAGCCCAGCGACTACTGAGGCTGGCCTTAAAGAAGGAGGAGTGTAAGCTAAGGCCCACACTGTGAACGACGAAGCGATCTTCTGGCTTTCGAGAGAGATGGATTTCCACGTCACCATCTTCATGGCACGGAAGAGCAGTGCTTCTTGAAGACGAGTCCTTGAAAAGAATTAGCTGACACCAAAAACATACGGGCATCGATCTGCTTTACCATAGCTGTTGATCTTTGAGGCTCAGACTGGGGTCGTTTCAAGCAGACCTGCTCAGCGACAATTGATTTCCTTTTGACGAAAGTGAGTAATCTATCATGAAAGTGAGAAGTCATCCTCGAAAGTCCCTCAATCAAAGGTAGACAAAAGCACGCACCTCTTCTGAACGTTGCCAAACAAGGCAATCAGGCCTCGTGATGATGTAGATATTGGGCAGTCAACCATAGTGGGGAAAGGAATGAAGCCAAGCTTAAGGGATGTGGTTTGAGTCAGCTCAAAGTGAGGTGAAGTTGGAAAAGTGACAGCTCCACAGTCCTCACTTGTCAACTTTGGGGGCAGGCCCTTCAACCCCATTTCATGGCATCCTCAATTTTCCGGTCGCCCCAAAAATCTGATTCTCTACGACATTTGCATAGGCTAAACCCCGTATGAGCTCCAAGTCTGGTCGTTTCTCATGCTAAGCAAAATCTCCTCCTCACAAGCTGTCGCCACATGTTACTCCCAGACAATAGCTATCAGAACATTCTCGATGGCCTCGCTTCCTCCATTTCTTCCATGCAATCGTTGGCGACTTCGACGCAAATGAAGGCTAGAGAGGTGTCACCCCCATCTTTCCTCCCCCGATATTTGGATGCATAATAGAGTAGCGACCGAGTCACATTTGCCGCCGACCGCTGAAAAGTCCGGAAAATGGATATTGAACTTGCTTTGTCGACATTGCTGTTACGTTCTTCGCTCAATCATCAATTTTTTTATCACACGTCGAATTCTGCTAATGCTGCCTGTGAGTAGAGCACACTCATAATCTCGAACCAAAGTAGGGCAGCGCCAAAGATGCCTTGGAAGTCCTCCGTCAGCAAGCTACCTATTTGTGCTTTTGGCTGGCTTTTCCCTTCTATGGAATAGTAGAGTTGTCATTCTTTCGCAGGAAAGACCACTTGGTTCACAGATCCACCAGTCTACCACCACTCAACCGGCCCAAGTCCGGACTGCGACATCGAAGCCTACATCGTTGAGCACATCCTGCTTCCAAAGCGGCAGTGGACTTACTGTGATGCTATAAGGGCTCTTCCGCTCCGTTGTCGACTCACTACCTCGCTCGGAAGGAGGTGAAGGAGATATGTCGTTCCATTGCTCGTCCTCCACACGCACTCGAACCCACTCGTTCTTGTCGTAAAAGTATTCGTCGCCATCATTTACCCAAGTCCAAACTTGCTCTTGCACGTTGCTTGAAATAAAGTCAGATTCGCAGAGAAGGCCGTTGGCAGCAAATGCAGGACCAATAAGCCAGAAGCATGTGCGGAAAAGAGTAAACGAGCAGAAGAATTGGGGCTACAGGGCCGACTTACAAAAAGCTTTTGGGGAACATCAAGTTCGGAGGGACAAATATGTCGTCAAAGAAGTCCAGCCGTACTGTTCTGGGTGTCATTAAGCCAGTTCCATTGTAGAGGAACGGGGGGCCTACTTTTCATGCCATATTCAGAAGCGCCACTGATCTGTGCGAGAAGAATCTCTCCCTTGAAAGGACGGAAGACGATAAGACGGAATTCGACTAGAAGCCTTGAACATTTGAACTTGGGAAGCCGGGATGCTTTGGCCTACCATTGACATTCACAATGCCAGTACCATGGCCAATCAGACCGTCGGAGGCGTTCAATATATCGTAAACGCATATGCAGAGCCCGATTTTTTGAATTACCTGGAACGCTGTTAGCATCGCAAACTAAAGGGAAACCACGAGTCGTCTACTTTGTTGGCATATTTGACATTGATGTTGTCTTGAATACTTTCTCCACTGGGCTTCTCCACATCCTCTGGAGATATTTGGACCAAATCACTTAGTGTAGTCTGATTGATGTTTCAGCACTGCAGGCGATGAAAGCATATTCCACTCAGAGAGTCCAACACCCTAGCTTACCAGGATGAACATTGAGCTACCAATGCCATACGATGGGGACCTTCGAGCGCTTTGGTTGAGAGCTGTACATTCGTTGGCTTCACGAGACCACAAAGTAAGACTCGAGAGATGCGAACGAGGGAAGCGATCGGAAGGGAAACGGAAACCCTTACCGTAGGGCTGTACTCTAGCTAAACTTTCCTCGTACATTTCAGCACTAAGCCTCAAAAAGAGACGAGACACAAATCCCGGCGCAAGCACAAACTTACCCTCGACAACGCCTGGTCCTCACGCCGTCCAGGGCCCGATCCGCACTGACAAGGTCTCGAGCAACCTCTCTGTTTCTTCTGGGGAGTGCGCAAGAGTGCTAAAGTCTTTGCGCAGCCACTCCTTTACTTGGCGGGCCTCAGTACGTTGTCCAGCAGCGCTTCACTGCGTCTGGACTATGCTGATCTCTAGGCGTGTCTATGAAGCTGTCACTCATTCGCGCATGATCGCGTGAAACCCGATATCTTAGTATTATCTCAACAGGACCAGAGAAGGCTGGACATAGGAATGAGAGCGAGCTAAGGAGCGTGAGCGGTCACATTGTGTTGAGGGCTGCGCATCCTAGGAAGAAGCGCTGGCATACCGCCTGTCAATAGATACAGATACTCGTCCAAGCAACCCATAACCTCCAAAAGTCCAACATGTATTTCCTGCACGACATGGAGCGAACCATCACGCTGCATCCATCATTCTTTGGCCCACGCGTAAAGGAGTACATCAGAGGCCGACTTATGGAAGATGTCGAGGGAACATGCACTGGCCAATTCTACATTATTTGTGTGATGGATACAGATACCCAAGACTTTTCTGAAGGGCGAGTGGTCCCGGGCAGTGCTGTCGCAGAATACACAGTGCACTATCGAGCCGTCGTATGGAGGCCTTTCAAGGGCGAAACGGTTGGTCTACCCGTCGAGAATCCATGGGCATTTCGGGCTTGTCATGTGCTGAATTTTTATCTCACGCTAGGTCGACGCCATAGTCAGCTCTGTGAACAGAGAGGGTATTTTCGCTGACGTTGGACCTCTCCCAACCTTTGTCTCCAAGCATGTGTGTTCAGACGGCTAAGCTTTCGGACCCTCGGCTGATGTGTACAGATGATCCCGAGCGATATCAAATGGGATCCGAATGCTACTCCGCCACAGTTCACGGACAACGGAGACCAAGTCATTGAGAAGGGTACACATCTACGGATCAAGATAATGGGGACCAGGAGTGATGTTGGCAGTATGTTCGCTATTGGAAGTATCAAAGAGGACTTTCTGGGGTTTGTGCCATGTTTGTGATCATACTAGCTTCCACTTACGATTTTGCAGGACTCTCTAAAAGACCATGTCCAGCGTGTCAAGGCTGCAGCGCTCCCAGAATGCGAACCCTTGCCAAGAGGAACATCAAAGATGTAGAGGAAGAGGCTCTACGACAGATCCTTCGTCTTGACGGCGGGACTTCGTACCAACTCTGCGAAAAGAGACCTCCAGCTCTTAACGAAAGCTGGCTGAGCTTGGATTTCAAAGGGTTTGGGTGATTGTATTACTAATTAGATGTCGCTCTTCATAATTTAAGATTCATCGTGCGAGATAGAAAATGATACGGAATTAGAAAGACTTGTGACTGTAACAAAACCCATGGTGGCTCAGGAGGCATATTGATATCAGAACTGTAGATAATGATTGAGAAAGTCAACAAAGTGTTCAAGATTCTACAGACTACAATAGTCATAGAGTGGAGATGAATAGAAGGATTAGATTCTACTCGCCGAGCCAGCATCTCAAATAAGGCATCCTTTCTATAGCGTACTCTAGATAATAGACTATTGCTGACCTTGAATTCAACGACGAACAAGAGGATCATGCATCTGCTCTATCATCCACTGATGTTAATCACCAATCAGCCCAACGAGTCGTTGGCAGCCTTCTAGATGGGAACATTAAGTTTACTCCGTTCGTGATCCCATGAATCCACCTCCGGAGGTGTCGAGATGGCTTCCACTCCATACCATGACGATGAAGAGGAGAGGAAACCGTTGACCCACGACTCCTCATCCTCGGACCCAGCTCGAAACTCTCTGGATTCCGTCACATCCTCTTCCGACACATCTATAGCCTTGGAGCACCTTAATGAAGACGGGACTGCAGTGGGCAACGGGCATACAAAAGGCCTGTCGGGGACCAGAGCCCTTGACGACAAGGGCAATGACTACGATGACGAAGATGGCTTCTATCGTCCCCCTCGCCGACAACCGTTGGAAAGAAGGAACAGACGCATAATGTGGGCATTGGGCGGCTTATGCCTTGGTGGATGGGTACTTGCTCTGGTTCTCTTCCTGTCTCAGCAAACATACAGACATGCATCTTCCATCCCATTCGACCCAGCTGCCACCGCATCACACGGGTCTGGCAAGGCCGTGACTCTTGATCAATACCTCACAGGAGCATGGCGACCAAGGCATCAGCAGATCTCCTGGATCGCGGGCGCAAACGGCGAAGACGGACTGCTTCTCGAACAGAATGCTGGTTCCGGCAAAGATTATCTGGTGGTAGAAGATGTGCGAAGTCGCACGCCCAACGCTGAGGCACAGGATAGCCAAACCCTGATGAAGGATGGGCCCTTCAAAGTGGACGGTCTCGACGTGCAGCCGAATAGAGTATGGCCGAGTAAAGATCTCAAAAAGGTGTTAGTCATGTCCAGTGAGCAGAAGAATTGGCGGCATTCTTTTACAGGCCTTTATTGGATATTCGACGTTGCTAGTCAACAAGCCGAACCTCTGGATCCAGCGAAACCAAGTGACCGTATTCAATTGGCTTCATGGTCACCCCAAAGCGATGCCATTGTCTTCACCAGAAACAACAACATGTACCTACGCAAACTTTCGTCCAACAGTGTAGAACAGATTACAAAGGACGGGGGAAGCGAGCTCTTCTACGGGGTACCTGATTGGGTATACGAGGAGGAAGTCTTCGGCGGGAATAGTGTGACCTGGTGGTCTGAGGACGGGAAATTTATAGCCTTTCTACGGACGAACGAGACCGCTGTGCCGGAGTACCCTATCCAATATTTCGTTTCCAGACCGAGTGGGAAGGACCCGGCACCAGGCGAAGAGAGTTACCCTGAAGTACGACAACTCAAATACCCAAAAGCTGGCGCTCCAAATCCAGTAGTGGACCTACAGTTCTACGACGTTGCTAATAACGACGTTTTTTCAGTCACCACCGACAACGACTTTCCCGACGATGATCGCTTGATAACCGAGCTAGTATGGGCTGGAAGAGATGGCAAAGTTTTGGTCAAGAACACGAACCGAGAAAGTTACATCTTGAAGGTCGCCTTGATTGATGTCGTTGAACGGACTGGAACAGTTGTTAGGGAAGAAGATGTGAAAGCCTTGGACGGGGGATGGTTTGAGGTGTCAGAAGAGACCCGATACATCCCAGGCGATCCTGGTAATGGTCGGCCTCATTCTGGATACATTGATACCGTGATAAAAGAAGGCTATGACCATCTCGCCTATTTTACTCCTCTCGACAATCCGGAACCTGTTATGATTACGACTGGAGAGTGGGAAGTTGTCAATGGTCCGTCAGCAGTTGACCTAAAAGCAAACCTTGTATACTTTGTCGCAACTAAGGAATCCTCCATTCAAAGACATGTCTATACTGTGAACCTTGATGGGACATCTCTCCAACATTATTCGGAACATCGCAAAGAAGGTTATTACGATGTCTCGTTCTCCACAGGTGTTGGCTTCGCCTTGCTCTCCTATCAAGGGCCCGACATTCCTTGGCAAGAAGTTCGTTCGACGCCAAGCTTCAAAGGACACTACTACAAGCATCGCTTTGAGACGAATACTGGATTAGCCAAGCTCGCCGCTGCTCATGAGCTGCCCATTGAGATTTATCAGACGGTAAATATTAGCGGCGTTGATCTTAACCTCGTCGAGCGCCGTCCACCCCATTTCGATGAGAACAAGAGATATCCGGTCCTTTTCCAACTCTATGGAGGTCCCGGCTCGCAACAGGTTGACAAGAAGTTCACAGTTGACTTCCAGTCTTACGTGGCGTCGAACCTCGGCTATGTCGTTGTGACGCTAGATGGGCGAGGCACTGGCCTCATCGGTAGAAAAGCAAGGACTATCGTGAGCGGCCACATCGGATACTACGAAGGCATGGACCAGATTACGGCTGCAAAATTGTGGGCGAAGAAGCCGTACGTCGATCCGGAAAGGATGGCGATTTGGGGCTGGAGCTACGGGGGCTTCATGGCGTTGAAAACGTTGGAGCTTGATGGAGGTGAGACATTTAAATACGGTATGGCTGTTGCGCCGGTGACGGATTGGAGATTTTATGGTAAGCTCTCGTGTACTTGCTGTGGCTGGAGCCTGACTGATTTGGCTGCCAGACTCCATCTACACCGAACGATACATGCAGACCCCACAGAATAACCCTGATGGCTACGATAATACCACGATCAGTAACATGACCGCTCTTCAAGGCAATGTCCGTTTCCTGATGATGCACGGCGTCGCAGACGACAATGTGCACATGCAGAACTCCCTTACTCTCCTGGACAGACTCGATCTTGCGGGCGTGGAGAATTATGACGTTCATGTTTTCCCCGATTCCGATCACAGCATCTACTTCCACAATGCGAATCGGATGGTTTACGATAGTACGTCAAACCTGCACTTGATACGTGGAAGATACTGACTATGCACTAGGACTTAATAATTGGCTTGTCAATGCTTTCAACGGCGAATGGTTACGAACAGAAGATGCGATACCCATGGAGAGGATTGGAGCTACTCCTCACAGACGGTGAACAGGTTCAGGTAGCATGGGCTGGCGTTAGGAGGTTTCAGATGCATACTTTAGAGTATGCTCGAAGTATGTGAGGGGCGCTGACGCTATTTGGAAAGCCAACGAGCCTAATGGCAGATGTTATGGGTTTGATCTCGAAACATTTCGTTTCGTTCTTGTTGATTCGTTCTCTAGAGACATGAACATGTTACAGTTCGGAAATGGAAATCATGTTTTGTTTGTCCATGTTCGACAGAGCCGTGGTCTAAAAATGCGATGCCCTAAAGTACAGTAAGTATCTTACGTTATAAGGGCGAAAATCCGAATATCCGAAAATGACGTCGAGCCAACTCTGCGATTGATTCGAAAATCCGGCCGTCATCACTTTCGTTAACAACAATCTACCTGTCCATTCGTATCTTACAATCTCTTAATCCACTGTACTCCACGAAAGTTATGCCAGATTCGCCCAACATGTCAGCGACGACGAAGGAACTTCTTAAAAAGGTGCGCATGATTGTGCCACCAATGCTGGACAAATTTCACAAAGGTACTTCTCGCGTCCTGGTCATAGTCGAAATACTTCTGACATAAGCGTACCAGGTCAATTGGGTAGAGTAGCAGTCATTGGAGGCAGCGAGAAGTACGTAAAATCTGTTTGCGCCTTTCAGATTGAGAAAAAACCCCCGGAATCAATTGACTCTAGAGCAGCTACACCGGCGCACCCTATTTTTCGGCCATGGCATCCGCACGATTAGGTAAATTCATACATCCAGGCACCCAAGCCTCTCACATGAGATTGACAACCTTCTTCAGGCGCTGATCTCGTAACCTGACTCCTCCCAATCCATCCTCTTCCCAAGCTAAATCAACCAGTCCCACGTCATCTGCACCCCGCCCGCCGCCAACGTGATAAAAACCTACTCTCCCAATCTGATGGTCCACCCCATAATGCGTGAAATCAATGAAGTGCCCGCCTCCCACGAACCCGCGACTGAACTCGCCTCTCCCATCATCAGTATGCTCGGCAATCTGCATGCCGTCGTCATAGGTCCGGGTCTCGGGCGCGACAAACTCATGCAAGCGACCGTTGCTGTCGTCATAAAGGCGGCGAGGGAGAAGAATGTGCCATTGGTATTGGACGCGGATGCGCTATGGTTGATTCAGAGTCAGCCAGAGTTGGTGCATGGGTACAAGGAGTGCGTGCTCACTCCAAATGTCGTGGAGTTTGGAAGGTTAGCTAAGGCGGTGGGGTTGGGAGAGGATGACCTACCGGATACTGGTGAAGCTGGGTGTAAGAAACTTGCAACGGCTCTCGGAGGGGTGGTTGTCGTGAGGAAGGGAGGGGTCGACTGGATTAGTGATGGTGAGAAGGCGATTGTAGGTGATGGAGAAGGCGGAAGGAAGAGGAGTGGTGGGCAGGGCGATACGTTGACAGGAAGTATCGGAACGCTGTTGGCATACAGGGATGCGTATCACGAGAAGCTGTGGGATACCGAGGGTGACTTGGATAGATCCGAAACATTGATGCTGGCAGCTTGGGGAGGTAGTACGATCACAAGAGAATGTTCGAGGCTAGCATACAAGAAGCACGGAAGGAGTCTGCAGGCGAGCGATCTGACTGAGGAAGTGTCTGTTGCCTTTGATACCTTGATTGGGGAGAAAGAGGAGAGTAAGCGTATGTCTAAGTATTCAAGTCTTATCTACAGATCGAAATGCTGACTCTGAAATG